GAGGTGTTTCAGGGTGTTTTGGGGTTTTTGGGGTGTTTCAGGTGGGTTTTTGGGGTTATTTAGGGGTATTTCAGGGTATCTCGGGTGGGTTTTTGGGGTATTTCGGGGTATTTCGGGGTATTTCGGGGTATTTCGGGGTATTTCGGGGTATTTCGGGGTATTTCGGGGTATTTCGGGGTATTTCGGGGTATTTCGGGGTATTTCGGGGTATTTCGGGGTATTTCGGGGTATTTCGGGGTATTTCGGGGTATTTCGGGGTATTTCGGGGTATTTCGGGGTATTTCGGGGTATTTCGGGGTATTTCGGGGTATTTCAGGGTATTTCGGGTGTATTTTGGGGTGTTTCAGGGTATTTCGGGGTATTTCGGGGTGTTTTGGGGTGCTCTCGGGTCCCACCTGCAGCGCCCGCAGCAGCCTCGTCCCCAGCCCCAGCGCGGCGCTGGCCCCGGCGGCCCCGAGCGCGGTGACCCCGCGGGTCACCCCCCGTGTCACCCCCAGGGTCACCCCCCCGGGACCCCCCCCCTGCAGCGGCAGCAGCAGCAGGTCCCGGAGAGCGCGCCCTGGGGACACAGGGGACATTGGGGACATTTGGGATATTGGGGATATTGGGGACAGGAGGGGACAGAGGGGACGCTGGGAACAATGAGGACAAGAAGGGACATTGGGGATGTTGGGGATGCTGGGGACATGGGGACACTGAGGGGACACTGGGGACAGGAAGGGACATTGGGGACAATGGGGACAGAGGGGAGAGTGGGGACACTGAGGGCATTGGGGACATTGGGGACAATGAGGATATTGGGGACAGCAGGGGACATTTGGGATTTTGGGGATATTGGGGACATGGGGGCATTGGAGACAAGGGGGACAGCAGGGGACAATGGGGACAGGAAAGGACATTGGGGATAATAGGGATATGGGGACACAGGACACACTGAGGGGACACTGGGGACATGGGGACAGTAGGGACGTTGGGGACAATGGGGACACCGGGGATACGGGGACACAGGGGACACCGGGGACACTCACAGAGGCTGAGCACGGCGTGCACCGGTGCCACCCCCCCCAGCAGCCCCGGCAGTTGGTGACACCGAATGTCCCGGAGCCACTCGGACACCGCGAAGGACACGACCCGGCCCAGCCCCAGCAGCCTGGGGACAGGGGGGACAGGGGGGGACACGGGGGGGACACGGGGGGGAAAAAATGAGGAAAACAAAAAAAACCCCAAAAAAATCCGCGAAATTTTGGCCCAAAAATGATCGAATTAGCCCCAAAAATCACTGAAAAATTCACTGAAATTACCCCAAAATTCACCAAATTGGCCCCAAAAATCAATGAAAAATTCTCTGAAAAATTCATTTATTTGTTTATGATAGAGACAGGTGAGAAACGCAAAAAAAACCCAAAAAATCCCCAAAATTTTACCCCAAAATTCAACAAATTGGCCCCAAAAATCACTGAAAAATTCATTTATTTGTGCTCACCTTGCCCAGGTACAGCTCCATCAGCTGCTCCTGGGCCCGCGGGGGGGCGGGGCCTGCGCCGCGGGGGCGGGGCCTGCGGGGGCGGGGTCAGTGCGGCCACACCCTCTGCCCCTCCCAGCCACGCCCACTGCGTTCACCCATCAGCCCCGCCCCTGTGGGCGGGGGCGTGGCCATCCCGCAGCCACGCCCACCCGAGCCCCTCCCTGCTTGGGGGCGTGTCCAAAATACCGACCCCACCCCTGGGTGTGTCCCATGCAAGCCCCTCCCAGCAGAGGGTGTGGCCATTTAAACCCCGCCCATGGGCGTGTCCCACCCTGGGTGTGTCCCTGTGACCCCGCCCTGGGGCGTATCCCACCCTGGGGCGTGTCCCACCCTGGGCGTGTCCCAGCCCCGCCCATGGGCGTGTCCCACCCCGGGTGTGTCCCTGTGGCCCCGCCCATGGGCGTGTCCCACCCCGGGTGTGTCCCAGCCCCGCCCCGGGGCGTGTCCCACCTGGGCGGGGCCGGGCCGAGGTCCCGCCCCCCGCAGAGCGCCCACGTGACGCTGACGTCACGCAGGAGGAGGCGGCGCTGGGGGCGGGGCAGCCCCGGGGGGGGGCGGAGCCGGTCCCGCCCCCCCCGCGGGACCCCGAAATGGCCGGGGACGACGCGGAGGGGCCCGGGGGACAGCCAGCGGATCCGGGGACAGGCCTGGGGTGGGGACACAAAAATGTCACCTGGGAACCCCCCCGGTGCCACCCAGTGTCACCCCAGTGCCACCCGGGGGACAGCCAGCGGATCCCGGGGGTGTCCTGGGACAGGGACAGGGACAATGTCACCTGGGAACCCCCCTGGTGTCACCCAGTGTCACCCACAGACAGCCCAGTGTCACCCAGTGTCACCCTAATGTCACCCTGAGTCACCCCAGTGCCACCCGGGGGACAGCCAGCGGATCTGGGGACAGGCCTGGGACAGGGACAGGGACAGTGTCACCCTGAGTCACCCCGGTGTCACCCCGGTGTCACCCTGAGTCACCCCAGTGTCACCCTAATGTCACCCTGGTGTCACCCACAGACAGCCCAGGGTCACCCCGGTGTCACCCAGGGACACCCAAACACCACCCGGTGCCACCCCAGTGTCACCCAGTGTCACCCCAGGGTCACCAGGGGACACCCAGATGTCACCCACGGACACCTGAATGTCACCGGGGGACACCCAGTGCCCCCCAGTGCCCCCCAGTGCCCCCCAGTGCCCCCCAGTGTCACCCAGTGACCCCAGTGTCACCCTGGTGTCACCCCAATGTCACCTCAGTGTCACCCAGTGTCACCC